GTGCTACACCGGTGCCTGGGGCAAGCGCGCACAACGTACCGTGGCGATGCTCCTCTGTGAGTGAAGGACCTGATCAGGTTTTAGCCTCTGCTTCTGACGCTTTTGAAAAGACCAGCTGCTCATACGTGTCTTGTCATTAGAAATCTGGTTACTGCTAAAAACTGATATGCAATTGAAATGACTGACGATAAAAATCGGGGGAGCGGTAGGAATTCTCGCACATCTCGTATTTCTATTAACTGCTGTCAGTGGTTTGTTGCTAAAATTACCACTTTGTTGGTTCAAAACTTTTGTCAAGCAAAGGTTTTTGTAAGAATAGATGCTGGCTACAACAGGCCCCTTCCTGAATCATCCCGTGGGTTTTGGGGCAGGATTTGCGGTTGTGGGACAGTGCCAGCAAAATGAATTTGAACTTGAAAAGACTGCACTAACTGGGCTTGGGGTGAGGTTTCTTAGGGAGAAAAGGATCATTTCAGTTTCGAGTGGAAACTGAATGAGGGATGTGCCTGCTAGGGAAAACAGAATACCAGAAAAACAAACACAACCAACCACAAACCTTTACAAATTAATTTTAGGGTAAGTATCTCTGCTAGTGATTGTATACATCAAATAAAACTTTTCAAAGCAAACTGGATGTGAAACTGCAACATTCTTATAATTTGTCTTTATGAATAATTTGAGTGGACCTTTGCACTGATTGCCAATCTGTATCCAGATACTTATACTTTTAAAAATGCTTAGTTATACCAAAATATTAAATGGAGTTTTTTGCAGGGGATTAGGATAATACAATTTTAAGGTCAAAATACAAGACTTACGAGACTGGTTTATATAGACCTAAAAATGCATTGACTTCGATTAAATATCTTGAGACTATAATTTATAACAGAGGCCTGCAAATCAGGGAGTTAACTGTATTACAAGGGATTTTGCAAAAAAAAAAATATTTTAATGCTATTTCTTGTAAAATCATTGAGTTAATGTTGAATTGTGTTTGATCAAAATAAAACGTTCAGCACCTGTGCTACTTACCACAGAGAACGGCTAGCTCAAGGAACTGTTTCCTTTCATAAAGTGTAGCTCCTCCAGCTGGTGCTATATGGCTTTGATTTTTTTGTTAGTTAATACTGTTTAAGTCTGAAGAAGTGATTTATTATATTGTCTCTTCCAAGTGTGCATATTGTTTATTCACAGGTGCTTAGACAGTCTTTGACTTTTTAAAAAAATAGTCACAGGTCTCTAAATTATTCTACCTCAAATAGACTAGAAATATATAAGCTAGAACTGCCACTGAGAGTTGGAAGTATTTCTTGGCATATAAAGAAGTTTAAGCCATGGGTTTTGGTTAACTAATTAATCAAGATAGAAATGGAGCTTTTGGGTTTTTTTTGCAACCCTTGAAAATTAAACTGATAAGAGATCAAGGCTTGAAAAATATTTCCAGTTTCTCACTGCTGCTGCTCCCAGTTTTTCCCAGTAGTTGTAGTGTTAAATTGGCAGGACTCTTGTCAGGTCACTGCAGTTGATTACCCCAGGGAAATTAAACAGTTCTGACGATTGCAGCAGGTCCCTGTTGCTTGCAAAAACTGCCAGCACCTTTGATCATACACAGGGCAACAGCTTGGAGTAGAGGGATGCAAAAATCAAAACTGAGTGTAATAGTGGATGAGAAGAAGCTGAGAGACGTGTAGAGGTTTCTTATGAAGATACAGTCGTTACGTCTGTAAAAGAAACACCTTTTTTTTTTTTAATTACCTTGTAGTCTTGTGCCTGTTTGATGGAAGCAACAACAAACAGGAGTGTTCGGGATTTCCTTAATGCAATATGTAATTTAAGAATACTGTACAAAGATAACAGGAAGTTTATCAAAACTGATTTGATTATTTTCTTTCCAGTTTGCCTGAAGATAAGCACTATCAAATATTTTTTGATAGCATAATCTCATGTTGTTGATAACAAGAAAAAAGTGGCAATTTAAGGGGTTTACGCTTTTCTTAACATCTTGAAGGGAGGAAAACCCCAAAACTAAGAAAGCATGTTACTCTTGTATTTGTTTTATACAGATGTCTCAGTTTACAAGCGAAGATGAAGCTCTGTTACAGTCTATGCTTAGACAGTTGCTGCAGAGTGTGAAGGAAAAAATCACTGGAGCCCCATCAGTAGAATGTGCAGAAGAGATTCTCTTGCATTTGGAGGAAACAGATGAGAATTTTCACAAGTAAATATATTTTTGGTGTTTTTAATATTTTGAAGGAGGTGAAATGTGTTGAACTATATTATTCCTGGGAAACCTTTACAGTGAGGAAAAGGTTCTTCACTGAGGGGGTGGTTGGTCGCTGGAACAGGTTTGCCAGGGAAGTGGTCACAGTATCAAACATGTCAGAGTTCAGGGAGCATCTGGATGATGCTTTTAGTCCTACAATTTAGTTTTAGGTAGTCCTGCGAGGAGCAGGGAGTTGGACTTGATGATCCTTATGGGTCCCTTCCAACTTGAGGTATTCTATGATTCTAACTTACATTGCTGTGTGAAGGTGTATGTATTTATATATATAGATATTCTTATTGCTAATCAACTCTCAAAAAATGCTAATTTAGAGAATAAAATTAATTTTGCCATTTCTCTGGTTGGGTTCCCCCCGCCCCCGTAGTACATTATTTTTACTGTAATAGTAACGGATGAGCTGTTCATGTGAGAGTAACTTACAAAATTACTTAACTTAGCTAAAACTCATGCCTCTGTACATGTAATACACTAAATGCACATGTGAACAGAAGCTAGAAGAAATCCTCACTGAAGGCCATCAGGCAGTGTTTTTGATAAATGCTAGACAATATAATTTAGTCTTTGCCAATATGCTAAGTTTTCAGAAGGCTACTTGGCTTCCATATTTGATTGTTCTGTCTGATTTATATTACAGAACCCTTGTATATCTTCCCAGGTAGTCGTTCTTTCAGTTTATGTTTTGAATAAAGCAGAAATCTATCCCCATCACACTTCTGTTAAATCAGACTTGATAGTGTGACCTCACTTACATGCAATCTACATTTCTGGAGCCTATGTTCCTCATTCCTTTCCATGGTATTCTAACTTGTTTATTTTTTTACTACGTTAGATTTTTAGTATGCGTTTATGGCAAGTCAAGAGAATATCGATCTGAAATGACCTTTAAGACTTTTTAATAAGGACCAGAGTTCTGTGACTTGACTTCTGAGAAAGCCAATTCCTTGCCAGTTTTTTCAGAAGTGGTGCTATCTACATTCTCTTAACATTTGGCTAGTTTTTAACATTGTTTTGTCAGTGGTAGAAGTTAGGTAAAAGTAAATAAGTGAAACAGAGCTAGGGTTTATCTAAAATTTCACTACAATTTTAAAATTTTCGTGCTTTTGTATTTTATGTATTTTTTGAAGATGCTAAAGAAATAAATTTTAGCTCAACTTTAATTTGTATTACAAATTGTATCAGGTAACACTTCTGTTGGCAGTCTTGCGAATTTTGAGCACCAGGTTACCGGGTGACAAGCATGAGAGTAAAAAAGTTAGTTATAAACATATCAAAGTTAAAAATTACATGTAATTTTGAAAGAAAAAATATTTTTATGTAAAGGAAGACATGTACAGTAAAAAACCCCAAACAACCAAAAACCTATTAGATTACAATATTTCTTCTGCTGACTTACTAGGAGAATACTCAGGATAAGGGAGTAAAGTCTACAACTGGTGGAAACAATGCATACATAGTTTTCCCCTTTAGAACAGTGAAACAATGCCATCTGTTACTTTCTGGTATGTTAAAAAATTGGTGATCCTAAAAATACTTTCTTCTCATGAGAAAAGTTTTACGTTTAATGGAAAATCAAATGTGGCTTTAAATACAGAATATGAGCATTACTCTCTGGTACTGGAATATTTTTGGAGGTATTCTAGTCTTGTTCATGCCACATGGTGGTATAGGGTGGTTTTTATGGAAGGTCAGAGAGGTCATATGTCGATTTGTTAGTGAGACCATTAAGAAACTTTCTCTTTGACCCTTAACCCGTCCATCCAGAGTGCAAGCTCCTTTATTATTAGACGTATGTGCTTTTGGATGTCCAGTATCCTAGTTCAGCTCGACATTTTGATCAGCACTGTTTCTTCCTCGTGGTTATTTTGCCTCAGTAATTTTAGTAGATTTTGAGGCCTCATCCTGTGTTCCTACTTTGGTGTAGAAAAGGCAGAAACACAAGATCCTCAGAAAGCTGATGAAAAGGAAAATGGAATCACATTCAAAATTTATGTGCAGTAGTAGAAATCAGGATTTTTAACTATATGAGTAGCATGCTTTCTGTTGTATTTTTTCCTTGAATTAAAGTCCTAGAGTTCTTTTAACATTTTTTTCCCCCTAGTGCTTCCTTTGTAAGCACAACCAGATCAGTCTGATTTGATTCTGCATGTGAAGAAGTAGATCTATCATTGCTGAAATACTTACTTGTTACAAAACATTTTTAAGGTGGAAGAATGATGCAAAAGATCAAGGCTAGGACATCAGTTGAACATAAACTTAGTCGCATGAACAATGATGTGATTGCTGTGTATTTCAGAGCAAAGCAGTCACTGCAAAAACGTATACCCTGGAAATGTTACTGTGGTAAAACAAATGGGAGAAGGTTTTATGAAAGCTTTCATTCAGTGGAGTGTCATGTGCAATTCCATTATTGCAGAAGTAAAAAGCTAGCCTTGAAGACAAGTGAAAATGCAAATAAACTTGTTTGCATCTTTCTTGAGATGTATTTCTGTTACTTTCATTGAGAACAAAAGTGATGTAGGAATGGAAGTAAGTGGGAAATGGAGGGGAGGACTGTTATACCTGATGGAACTTGAGGTAGGCAATCCAGTGAGGAACTGTGTGTTATGATACAAGACACAATTTTCTGTGCTTATATTTTTTATGTATTTGAACGTAGTCTGATTTTTTTTTTTTTTTTTAACTATCCAAGGAAGACAAAAGCTGCTGCTTGTTATAACAGTTGCTTTTATTTGCTTTTGCATTTTATGGCTTTGGACTCTGTACCTACATGGTAAACTGACTTTTTTATTTTAATTTTTCTCATTCTGTATTTATCCAAATTAGCACAAAGTAGTTGCACATCTGCATTTGATAGAATGAAAATATAATGATGCATCTACTGTTTATGTATGATTACTTTTTTACATGTTTGTTTGCTTTGTCCTTTATACAAATCATAAAACTAAGATAAAAAAGTTTATATATTCTGAGCACTACCCTTTAGGAATTACTATAGCAATACAGTGTCTGAGGACCCAGTGAAGGTCTTCTGCTTGAAATCTCCCTCTGATTGTTCTTTTGTTTAAACAAGTTTCTGTAAATATCTAATAAGAAGAGTACAAAGTGCCAATTTCCTTACATTTAGCATGTACATGTAATCACAGACAGCTAGTTTGTCCATTTGACTGAGATCTTCTGCATACTGTCATGACACACAGACTTTCATAAGCCTTAGATGTGCTCATACACGAGAATTTATAAATTCTGTTTTCTCTGCTTCTTCTCCTTTTGTATGTATAATGCATAAATAATACCAGATGAGTATACCATAAGACAGAGCTATGTTCAGGATGCTGCAAGTAATGTTTCTTTTGGAATTCTAAATTTGAGATTTCTTGATATTCTATGATTTTTGTCTACAAAACCTTAACCTTTTGTCTGAGTAGATTTTTACATTTAGAAGAAGCATGCAGGGAAATTAGATATTATTTGGTATTGTTTCTTCCTGGAATATGCTGATAGTGACCACATTGAAGAAAATCAAACTGTATTGTGGTTTTTTTACACTGCTGAAGTTTATTTCTCTGCAAGTCATAAACCCTTACCTTAAAGTAACAGATCTGTGGGGAGGGAAGATAGCTAATGTTAATATAATGTTGAACATACTTGATGGTGAGCTCAAGGAAATGTTACATTTTCATTTTGTATATTTGTTGCAGCTATGAGTTTGTGAAATACCTTAGACAATATATAAATAATACTGTGGGATCTGTGATTGAAGAAGAAACAGAAAAATATACTTCTGCTCAAAATCAGGGTGAAGTATCTGGCTATGACACACTTGTCCAACACGTTACTAAGAAGACCCGTGAATCAAAAGAGTAAGTATATAAACATAATTCACATTTGTGCTTTCTCTTGGTCTTTGTCTTCCTTTTTCCTTTCCAGAACCTGTTCTGAAAAAATAAATTCTGAACCAATGGGAACAAAGGTGATTCTTTGCTTTCAAAAATCAGTGCTAAGCAATTCAGATGTTCCCACCCTACACTGCAATTTGTCATCCTTTGTCTCATTCTGGAATTAAGATTATGAACTATTGCATAAAAAGATCGGTAGCAAATCTATGAAGTTTTTTGAGGTATCTAGGACTGGAGTTGGGCAGGGTAAGATTTTTCGAGAAGAATCACTGCTTCATGCTATTTCACTAGCTGCAAATTAAATTCAGTTGTGATATGGAAGTTCAGCTAAAGGAATAATTTGTTTTATTACAAGTTTGTACTTGTAATTTCAAATTACAGTTTGTAACTGTAAACTGTATTACAGTTTGATAATTTTCTTAGATATACATGGAGAGTCTGCATGACAATATTGTTTCAAAAAAAAATTAGAATACATGTGTATTTTTTTAAGGCGATAGATGCTTCCTTGGGATAGAATGATAGATGCTTCCTTGGGATAGAATTATAGAATAGAATCATTAAGGTTGGAAAAGACCTTTAAAAGTCTTTAAAGGATCATCATCCTTTTTAAAGTCCAACAGTCAACCTGACACCACCATGCCCACTAAACCATGTCCCAAAGCACCATGGCTACACATTTTTTGAATAATTCCAGTGATGGTGACTCCACCACTTCCCTGGGCAGCCTGTTCCAATGCTTGACAACCCTTTTGGTGAAGAAATTTTTCCTAATATCCAATCTAAACCTCCCCTGGCGCAACCTGAGGCCATTTCCTCTCGTCCTATCGCTGGTTACTTGGGAGAAGAGACCAACACCCACCTCACTACAACCTCCTTTCAAGTAGTTGTAGAGAGCGATAAGGTCTCCCCTCAGCCTTCTTTTCTCCAGGCTAAACAACCCCAGATCCCTCAGCCACTCCTCATAATACTTGTTCTCCAGACCCCTCACCAGCTCCGTTGCCCTTCTCTGGACATGCTCCAGCAACTCAGTGTCCTTCTTGTAGTGAGGGGCCCAAAACTGAACACGGTATTTGAGGTGTGGCCTCACCAACACTGAGTACAGGGGTACAATCACTTCCCTAGTTCTGCTGGCCACACTATTTCTGATACAGGCCAGGATGGTGTTGGCCTTCTTGACCACCTGGGCTGCCGGCTTATGTTCAGCTGTCTGTCAGCCAGCACCCCAAGGTCCTTTTCTGTTGGGCAGCTTTCCAGCCACTCACCAAACCTGTAGCGCTGCATGGGGTTGTTGTGACCCAAGTGCAGGACCCGGCACTTGGCCTTGTTGAACCTCATACAGTTGACCTCAAGCCATCAATCCAGCCTGTCCAGATCCCTTTGCAGAGCCCTCCTACCCTCCAGCAGATAACTGTCCCACCCAACTTGGTGTTGTCTGCAAACTTACTGAGGGAGCACTCGATCCCCTCATCCAGATCATCTATAAAGATATTGAACAAGACTGGCCCCAGAACCGAGCCCTGGGGAACACCGCTTGTAACCAGCTTTCAACTGGTTTTAGCTCTGTTCACCGCAACTCTCTGGGCTTGGATGTCCAGTCAGTTTTTTACCCAGCAAAGAGTACACCTGTCTAAGCCGTGAGCTGCCAGTTTCTCCAGGAGAATGCTGAATCTAGCCATGTGTCCTGTGACAGTAGTATATTTAGTCAGATCGGCTTTCATTGAATAGTTTAAAAATTGAAGTTTGAGCTATCTTGCTTTGTATTTTAGTGTACATGCCAAGATATTTTTGTAGTGCTGTCCATACAATGTAGATTTCATATGTGGACCAACTGTGGATAATTACCTAAGAGTTCTTGACTCAGACTGTCAGATGGCCAGAAATCAGTAGGTTAGTGTGCAAAACTGCCTATCAGCATATTACAGTGTCTGTGGTCCAAATTAATTGGCTTTGAACACCATATTTAGTAAAGAAGCCTTAAATAGAAAAACCTCTGTGAATAGCAGTTAAATTCTTCTCTTAGTTATCTCTTCCCTACTAATTTTCTTCACCTTCCCATAGACATTAAAATAACTTTACCTTGGAATACAGAGGCTGGTAGTTCCCTTACTAAATTTTCACGCTTTGGATTTTGAATTTGCATAATTGCTGTGATTCTTTAAAGCAGTGGCCAGTAATACTTATAAAATGCATTTTAATATATACAGCTGTTATTTCCAGATAATATGTAAAACTTTAAAAGTTTAATCTACGCATCACATTGTTTTTGGAATTCCAGTACAAAATCCAACTACGTCATAGTGATTAAAGCAGTTCTAAGCGTATTGTTTCTTTAATTAAAACAGACAGTATACTTTTGCCATCATAGTGAATAAGGTCCTTGCCTCTATATTTTTAATTGTCATAGAGAGCCATGATGAGGTCTTTACTGAGGTTGGACCATTACAATGTGAAAACAATGAAATTAAAGCGAGCACCTGAAATGGTAAACGTTGGAAACTGAAAACCAACCAACCCCCACAGTATTTTAGCATCAATGGTCATTTTTATGTGTTGCAGAGGAAGAAAACAAAAAAAACAATTTTTGTGTCTCTCATTTTAGCCATTAAAATGATTTTATACATTACTTCAGCTGAACTATTTTTTTCCATTCATTTTTATTTCACATAATTTTTCACATTATTTTCATCTCTCTTCATCTAGTGGAACTAGGATTTTACTGTGATGCCCTTCATTTACTATGTGTTCTCAGTAAGAAAGGAATTGAAAAGTAGTGTATTTTTCTGTTCTAGAAGATTTGATTTTATGTTTGTTTTCAGAAGGTTTCTTACCTAGAAGTACACAGAAATATGTTTTATGAACCATACTTTTATAGGGTCCTTGTCGCCTGTTTGCATGCATTCTGAACTCTGGTTGAGCCTTATTGTGTCTCACTGTGATGGTCTTGAAATCGTTTCAGGATCATTCGAGGTTCCAATTTTGTTCATTGCAATTGCACATTTTCTGTGGTAGGTAGTATGCTTAAAGGTATTTATGGAGAAAAATGTATTAAGGAATTTGACTTCTTAGTGATACATTCTGTGTTTTCATAGTACTGTCATTTATGTTAGAAAGCAGTTCTTAATCAACTACACTTGGCTTTTATTTTCACCTAGAAAATAGATGTTAGGTTGACCATTTTTCAGATTATGCTGTTGATGTCTTTTTGTTTCGAGGATCAGGCTCTTAGGGTTCTTGTGCATGTTAAAGTTGGTAGAAGAAGCTCCAATGAACTAAATATGTCTGTATCTTATATTTTTAATTTGAGAGGTAGGAGGATATTAAAGCACAATATAGTAGTTTATATAACTGGTCACTGTAAAATAAGAAATAATAGCCTTAAAGTAAAAAATAATTTGAAATAAAATAGCATTTTACAATAGGATGTTTTTCTGAAGCAGCTATTATTTTTAACTGCTTCCTTGTGGATTTTATTATTCAATTTATATGACTTAGAAAAACCCTGTTTTTGTTGAAGGAAAATTGTTTTGTGTGCATGACCTGTACTCAAGATCTTGAATCAGGATGATGTGTTCTCTTCTATTGGTTCCGCTTAAGGCTGAATTAAAACTGGATGTTGAACTTGAAGAAACATAAACAGTAACAAAGATGGGAACTGACCTATTTTCTCAGGGACAGATTCTCCCACTTGGTGGATTCACATTGTTCCTTCTTAAGAAGCTTTCAGACCAGGATTATGTTAGTGGTATTTCATTAAATGGTTTTAAAAGAGCAAAAAGGAATTTTATTATAATTGCAAAATATAGTTATCTGAAACATTTAAGGTACATAGATGTTCTGTTGCTCAGTTTGGATTTGCTTTTGTTTTTCATTAATTTTTGTAAATGCAGTGAGTTTGGGACTAAGTAACTTTATACTGTGTTTAGTTATTCATGATTTAGTGATTTTCTTAAAAAAAATCAGTGATTTTTATGCTTTTTAATATCAAAAACATATTTACTTTGAAGATACACAGAAATGATGCATGCCCTGAAGAATGTCATGATGGTTGTGGCAGAATCTTTGATTAACAAGTTTGAAGAAGACCGGATGTGTAATAAGGAGCTGGATAGTAAAACAAAGAAAGAACGTCAGAGTGGCTATTATACAGACAACTGTTCCGACAGTGACTCCTCGTTCAACCAAGTACAATGTGTTTTCTCTCTATGTTACAAAATAAGCATGGTACTACAAAATTGTTAAGTTTCTGTCAGTGGAGATTGAGAAACAGCCCTAGGAAAAGATTCGTCCTTCCTATCTTTTATATATCCCAAAACAAATTAATTACCCTTTTTTCACTCTAAAGTACTAAGCTTATACTAGCTGTCTAAACTTTAGACAGCATGCGCTAGATGAGATGAATATGATGCCCATATGCTCTAAAGTATCTGTGCAAGTAATGCATAGAAAAAGATAAAAAAATGGTGAAAGCAATACGTCATTTAACTTCTTGTGATTTTACTTTAGGAGCCAAGTAATGTGCAAATTTATTTCCAGACTACTGCACTATGCTATATTACGTACTGAATGGATTATTATAAGGGATTTTATGAAGGTACAGGAAACTTTTAAGTAAAGCAAAGCAAAATATGTAACAAGAATTTTGTTGCTGTAAATTTAATTTTGGGCAAACAGTAGGAAACATTTAGAATGTTGACTTTAATATTTAATTAGTATAAATGTTGAAGTCCTAATTATTAAAAGTAAATTAGGTATCAGAAAGACTGATGATTTTAATCTTCTGCTGTTCAGTTTAATAAAATATTCTAATGATCATTTTATAATGTATATTACAGAGTTATATGTTCATGAGTCAAGAACAATTGCAACTGCTTGTAGAAAGGCTTGACCCTATTCAGCCTAAGGAAGTAAGTGTAAAAGAAGAAATAAAATGTTAATACAAATGAATGCTTATGGCATATTGGAAAACAGACTATGTACATCGGAGTTCATATGTGCCTAAGTGGAATCTTGTCTTTATTGGTTCATATATCTTGGCTTCAGTACAGCAACTGCTCTGTAGTGCAGTATTTCATTGTTCATAACCATCTGGTTCAAAAGTTAGTGTTGCAGCAAGTATCTTTTTTTTTTTTTTTTTTTGTTAGAAGTTTGTGCTGCAGGTGGGCATTTTTAGTTTGGAAAAAGTTCTTATATGAGAAATAAAGTTATTGAAGCTTATTTTCCTGTATATGTGCCCCTTGCCCTTCTTGGTAACTTCTATATTGTCCTTTGTGTTACCCCTGTCAGAAGAGAGAGATACCTGCTGATTTGCCAACAAGATGCTGCCAATGGGATATATAAAGTCCAAGTTAGGTTTGCCTTCATGTCAGTGGCAGTATTAGAATCTCTAACCATGAATCAGCACCAGCTGCTGACATTTTTGAAGCTTGGAGAAACATTGTTTTGAGACTGCTGTCTCAGTAAGATTTGTTACTGGCAGTTTGTCAGTAACAAAGATTTGTCTGGCAGTTGATGAGAACCGGTATGAACATTGTGATCGAGTTTTCTTAGAAAAGCAGGTTAAAAAGTCTAATTGTTTATTAAATATTAAATATTGTTAAAATTTCCTGCAGTTTGTTTCAACATTATGAAATAAATTACTAGAGATTACAGTTGTCTACAAATAGAACAAAAAAAGTTATTTGAAATTATTTAGATTATAATGTTGATGAAAATTCAGCAGTAAAGCATAGTGTCTAGTAACTGCTTCCACTTTCCCTTACTGACTTTTTAGAGCGCTGCTAGGCACGTTTGTAATAGTTGGTGGTAGTTTCCTGTATTCCCTGATAAAAAAATGTTTGATTACAAGCAGAAAGTAGAACATAATCCTTGCATTCAGTATTGAAAACCTATATAAAATGGTTTTGTTGCTTCTTCAAATACATGTTTGGGGTTTTTTTCCTTAGTGATGCAGTGTTTTGTCTAAATCACTGTAAAAATATAGCAGAAGATAAGTATTCTGGAATTCCTTATCTGTTCTACAGCCAGGTTCTGTTCCTTCCTTCCTCCAAATTATATTGTAAATTATGTACTTGAGAGGTTGCTGTGAATGGGTTTGTGGTGTTTATCTTTTTGACCACTTCAGGTTCGCCAAGAAGCCTTGCAGACACTGTGCTTTGCCTCTCCCTCTGATATACTGAACTCTGAGAGTTGGTCAAATCTGCGTAAGCATCTAACTGTGTCTCTGTCAGATCCGGATGCAACATTCAGTGTAAGCTAATGTTCTGTATTTAGTTATCAGATGTGTAGTCTTAGTAAAGAGTGTGGAAGAGGAATAAGAAATTACACATGTATTATCAGTAGTCCAAGTAGTCCATAAAAATGTCTAAGACATTTTATTATTTGTGTATGTATCAGATAAACTCTTTCTGAAGTAAAAGAACTACATGATTCCAGTAGGTCTTGATTTAAAGGATTATAACAGGATTTCAATACGATTTTTAGCAACTGGAGTACTCATTTACATATCTTTTAATGGGAATGAAGAGGTTTGAATGTCTTTTGGCAAACAGACATGAAAAAAATTGACAAAACTCTTCTGTAAAACATGTGATGTTAATATTTCCTGTTTGTCAGGTATATGCTCCATGATGATGAGAAAATGATATATAGTAGTATTACACAGGCACTGATGAGGAAAAAAATTTGCTTAAAATGCTTTTAGATTATTTATTATGCCAATTAAGCCTTTTTTCTTTTTCTTTGAATTTTAAAGTGATTATCAAATAAATGTGAAAGTTGCCCCGGCTGCTGTCGTGTATTTCTCTTTCAGCTTAGGTCTACAATTTCTTCTGAAACAGTGCTAGTTACAAGTCATTGGTACATTTAATAACATAAAAACATTTATGTTAACAGCAAAGTACAGTAATATTCCCTGATCTGCTTCTTTGTGTCTCAGTGACGCTTTGCATTGGTGCTGTCAGTTAAAGTATTCAAAAAGTAGTCAAGTAAAATTTCTTTCAGACTGTAGGTTTCTGTGGTCCCAAACTATATTTTTATAAAATAAGCTTCATGTCTGTAGAGGTATCTGAGAAATATGTAATATTAAGAACAGTGCCACTACATATTGTTTATTGTGCAATAATAATACACAGTTAAATGACTAATACATTGCTTGCTTTCTCTCCTTTAGGAGAAAATTCTTAGGTTCTATGCAAAAACTTTTTCTTCTTCTCCATTTAATATGACAAGAGAAGTCTATACAAGTTTAGGTATGTGCATTTAATTACATTTAAGGCTTCATGAGTCATGTACTTCCTGAAATTGGTTAATTTTTATAATGAAGCTGTATAATAGTTTGTTTTGCCACTGTTGTCATGGGTTTTTTTCTTCTTTTTTTAGCAAGACACTTGGAGTTGTACTTTCTTTCTGGAGAGTATTCTCTTCGTATTTCAGCTGGTCTCGACGTATCTAACACAAACATAACTCGTTTACTTAAAAAGGTATAAATGAACTTTCCATTCCTTTTTTGTCATTACTGAAATATCATGCATTATTTATTTTTTAATTTTAATAATTATGTTTTCAGGTCCGCCTTTTAAATGAGTACCAAAAGGAGGCTCCCTCTTCCTGGATTCGTTATCCAGAAAAGTATGTCACCTTCAAAAGCCTTTTAATTATTTTTTACATGTAATTAGATGCATGTAATTTTAGCAAAAGGTTGACTACAGGATGCACAGATGGCTGGTCAGTGATAAGGGGGGAAATCGAAATGGAGGGTGGGAAAAGTGGAATAGGGGAGTTTCATAGGAGTAGTCATGGGTGATATTAAGCTGCTTACTTAGCTTTGAAGTGTTAGAAGTGCTTTTTAACAAAAATAATTTGGGCGTTTTACAAGGTAACAAGTGTAATATTTTAGCACTTACAAAACATGTAATCATTTAGAAGGATATATATGTATGTTAGTTTTACTCATGGTAATACAAAGAATGAACATCCTTAGAAGATCAAGTTAAAGATAATGTGGATATTTATGATTTATTTGAACAATGAGGTTTTACAAGAAATTTGTTCCTGAATGTTACTGGTGGAAAGATATAAGTGATTTTTGTTTTATGTTTTTTTTTCCCTACGTGTGTCCTAAGGTATATGGAAGAAGTAGTGGAGAGTACCTTGTCACTTTTGTCAGTAAAACACGAGCCTAATTATCCTACATCTCCAGATTTCTTGAGTCCAGTCTACTTCTTGGCTCTGCTAGATATCAAAGCAGTATGGTTTAAAAAGTGGACGGTAAGCAAAACAACCCCAATAAAACAACGCAACAACCTGTAACTTAGGTCTGACACATGTTTTGAAGAGTTTGATTTATGACTATTATTATCACAGGCCTACTGTGACCTGATAAAAACCTACAATGAGCACTGAAGTTAAGGAGATCCGGGTTGTTTTTTAGGCAGTTGTGTCCTTCGCCCTTTAACACTACTCCCTCCCTCCATTTCTATTCAGTTACTATTATGAAAAATAAAATTTCTGAGAACTTACTGTGCTTTGGGACTTCAGTCCCTTTGTCACAATTGACTGACAGGCGTCAAAAGATGGAAACATTTTTCTGGAAGAAGTGGAGAGCATGAAAGTATAGTTATATATTTAATATGCTGCACACAACTTGCTAACCTCCAATGGACATTAGACTTTTTTGCGGCTATACTATGTATGAACTTATAATTTAGGGTTTACATGGCAATGTCAAAACACATAGTCAAAAATTTCAGCATAGTTATTGTTTTTCTGTTTTACGGGATGTTCTACTATACATTTTTCTGATGACATAGGTTTTTTTTATCTTCTGAAATGTGCTGCAAACAAAAGGCACGGTTGAGTATATTATTTGTTTACACAAGCTGGAGTTCAAGACATTGAATATGTACTGTGCGTAGGATCCCTAATAGAACAGAATTGGAGACGATTTCTACTTTATAGTTAAAAAATAAAACTTATATGTTTGAAGTTGACATTAGGTCTTTTTTGTCATTTTAGCATGCGTATTACAGCAGGACAGTGGTACTTAGGCTTTTGGAAAAGAAATACAAATCATTGGTAAGTATTTCTTAAGGAAAACTTACTCGGAACTTGTTCTTGCTTTGCACATTGTGATTTGAACATTTTTTTTTTCTTTTTTCTCTTTTGTCAGCACTGTTCCATGTCCTTTAGCTAGATAAACCTTTTTGATTTTAATTTTCTTTTTTAAAATTCCTCTTTGCTTAAATGAACTATTGTTAAATGCAAAGAAGGGTATGTGACCAGCTCTGAGTAAGGGGCAATGTGGATATTTTAGAGCATTTGTTCAATTAGGATCATTATTTATTAGTTCCTTATGTTACATTCTTAATTACAATTATTTCTGACAGTGTATAAAAATAGCAAATGCTATGTGAAAGAATATAATAAAAACTCTATTCTGAATTTGGATTTTTGATAGAGACTAAAAAAACACCATTGTGTTCTTTAGGTTGTGATATGAAGCATTAAGGATTCAAAGTGTCAGCAAAATAAACTGGGAAAGCATCTTTAGTAATGTAGGTGTTAATCCTATCACATATTCTGTATGGACAGATCCCTCCACTGGGATGAAAGTTTAATTGTTTTCAGTAAGACCAATGTAGATGTGAGATCCATTCAGATAGACAGGACTTTGGCTATGTTTTGTAAAATCTTGTAATACAAATGAAATTTCATGTAAAATATATGTGACTGATAAAACCTTAAGATGGGAGACAGGGATACAGACAACTATAAAGGCGTTTGCCTTGTTTACCTGTATGCATAAAGACCAGGGCATAGAATAAAGCATGTTCTATGCAACAAAAAGTTTATAAATAAGGAAGTCCATGAGCAGGGTAGTCTAATATCATATATAAGCATAGAGTAAACCTCAGATTAAGTATTTTTTTTATTACATATGTCTGTATATTATACTTAACCTTGTGAGTAAATCTTAGCAGCTCCAACCTGGACTAACTCTAAATGTACTACTTTGTTCATATGGTATATTTGTGATTCATTTCTAAATCTATGATGATAAATTTTAAACTTTTATATACATGGATTAGATGATAATTCTATCATAATGATACAACAGTTCTGCAAAGAACAGTAATAGCACTGGCAGCACCCAACAACCAAACTTACAGCTTAGTAGGTGTATTCAAGACAAACTTTTTCACATGTGGAAAATGAAAATCTTCCATAGTAATGACAATATGGCAACCACAGATTGCCATTAACTTCTCAAAATACTTGCGTGTTCTCTGTACTCCTTTTCATAGATTGCGTTAATGCTTATAAAGCTGGTAGTATGGTAATTTAATAATAATAATGGTAATGCAATAATATGGTAATGTGTTTTAATAGCCCTATAAAACTTTGCTTCCTGCTGGTTACGCCACCCAAAGCACTGAAACATTAGGTAATTGAAGTAAAGTGAGTATTTAGGTTGTTTTGTTAAAGGACAGTAAGTACTTGGGTACAAAAGAGAACGACTTTATTGTAAAATACCAGTTATTTTATTACTTTGTGCTTTTTTTCACAGATTAATGCAGCTGTCCAGCAATGTCTGGATTATTTTGAATTTTGCAAGGCAGCAATTAATAAAAATTCCAGAGTCAATGACTTCTCCCAGCAGCAGTGTAGTGAGTATCTTTGCTTTTCTTGCATTACATGCACATACATCCATATTCTCTACGTTCCTGAGCATGCTGCCTCAAGCTGCATGCTGAAGATATCCTATCTGTTCTTTTGCTTCCCAAAATCTTGTATGTCTATCTTTTGAGAGAACGCTAATAGCAGTGGTTAATTAGTTACGCTGTCTTTATATATAAAACGATTCACATATGTTGCAGGTAGTAGCTTGGTACTGTAAAGCAAACCAGTAGAGGCAAGTTCTAATTTTTTGGTTTTATTGTTAAAGGTGATAAGCAGAACTTTTCCTACACTGGACCAGAATTGCAGTACGTCTATTTTGTTCATTCACTGTGCCTGTTAGGAAGATTGTTGATCTATAAACAAGGCCAAAATCTCTTTCCAGTACAGCTAAAAAATAAAAAAGGTAAGAGGAGGGCTGAGGAAAATGGAACCTGTTGAGCAACACTTTATCCATACTTGATATATGTTTCCACTGCAATGTTGTGGACATTATAGGACAGTATTCTGTTTGGCAGTTCTGTGCCTGGAAATCTTTCTTAATAGATAGTATAAGTAATTTTGAGCATCAGCCCAGTTTTTTAATCTTTGATAGATGTGTTTAAACAGATTGCTTTTGTCCTTATCTTTAATATATTAATTTCATGTTGCAGGAGTGTTAGATCAGTGTGCTCTAGGTATGAGTAGTATCTTTTGTCAAACCAATTGATATGAGAGACATGTCCAGGGACCAAAACTGTTTTCCAGGTGTGAAACAAAATCAGTATTTCAAGCTAAACGCAAACAATTGCTCCAAGCTTAGCCCATTAATATGATTAAGGTAAAACAATGGTAGAGGTGAGTACCTGTGGAACAGAGGTGTTAATAAGGACAGAAGATAAGAGGTGGAAAAGCCCTTGGACATCCAGACAGATCTGCATATGGTGATAAATTGTGCAGGGTTGGCAAATGCAAGTGTGTGAGAACAACTGTAGTGTTCCTTACATTAATATGTTTTTGTTAATTTCATATAGAATTCAAAACATTACTGGATATAATTCTGAGACTTGTCTTTTGAAGGTGTTTTCTCCCTCTGGTTTGAGGATTAGGACTTAATAGATGCAATGTAGTGCAGTTGTGAGGAAGAAACATCTATTAAGCATGTGCTTTTGTCATTTATGGATTATCCGTATAACACTATTCAAGAAGTGATCCATTGGGGTTGCTTACTTTTTTCACTGCCCTTCAAAAGTAACAATCTCACCATCTGTCTTCTTAATAGTGTCCTTCTCAGCTTCATAGATAGCAATGCTTTCCTTACAAATTGTCTGATTTATTAGCATAATTACATTAAACTTGGAGCAATAGTTCCTAACCTGCATTTAGCTACATGTTTGTTGCTTTTGTTTCGGACCTGAGGAGGTGTTAGTTGTCTGACAGCTTAGTCTCTTTTCCAGTTCTTTCACTTAATAGCAAGGTAATGCGTTTTTCTACAGCCATGTACATTCAGCATTCTCAAAGTTTGGCTGCCTTCTGTTTCAATTTCTTCACTGAAAAGTTTAGCAAGCATTGGAACAGGCTGCCCAGGGAAGTGATTGAGTCACCATATCTGGAGGTATTTAAATGACATGTAGATGTGGCACTTACGGAGATGTATGTCCTTTGCTTTATCAGTTGTAAGCATGTTGATTTCCTTAACAAAACAAAGCACTGTTTACATATACTTACAACATCCATTTTATTTGTAAAATTAAAGTTGCACTTTAATTTGCAGAGTACTTGTCTCTTTTTATTTTTTATTTTTTAATAGATAGTGTATCCGTAACGGATCTGTTGGTAGTATTTATTCAACTTATTTATTACTCTCCAAGTTACCCAAAGACAGCTTTGGCAGTACATACAGGTAAATGTTCATTTTTAATATATGCTAATATATATAGTTATAATGAGGCATGTGGCAATGTCTTTTGCAGTTTTTAATTTGTGTCTGTTATTTGTGCAATTTTTCTTTTCCCTTCCTCCCTTTGTGTTAAATCAACAAAATTATACAAAATTATTACAAAATTATAATTCAGAAGCATCTACATAAGTCATATAGATATGTTTGTATAAGTTAAAATATAAATAAATAATTCTTGTGTTCACCAGACAATTATTCTCCAGCAAGTCTTGTTATGGAGATTCTGCAAGTTATTTGTGATCAGACAGGATGTGCTGCTGAATGTTTATATATGGACACAGTGATAGATGCCCTACTTCATCCAGTTCAGAGTTTACTGAGTGGCACAGAGGTTTGTAATAATCTTCCAAAGAATTTTTAAATGTATAGAATATTATAATTTTTCTCTATTTTCTGTGTAGAAGATTTCTTTAGTCACATGGTAACTTCTGTAATATTTTCTACATTGGTTATTATAGTACGCCTTAAATAGCGCGGGCTGTCGTTATGATTGGTCTGACAAAGTTGGCTTTCTTGAAATCTTGTGATTAGCAACAAAAATTGTGCCATAGTGAGAGCAGCAAATATTGTGTCATAGTGAGACTGTTCCCTTGGGAAAATCACACTGCTTAATTTTTATTTATTTTGTACGTCTTTTGGATATTTCTTGGATGCTTATTTGCTCTACCTGCTATTTAAAATGCAACCTACTTTTATTCCTTTTTAAATTCAGCTGGCAACTTGAATTAAGTGTTCTCAATAATTATTGTAGGTAAAATATGTAATTCTTCCTGGAAAATTACTGTTTTCTAAATTGGTAAAAGGAAGAGGTTTGGGGTTTATTTTTTTGTTGTTGTTGTTTGTTTGTTTGTTTGTTTGTTTGTTTGTTTTTTTTTTTTAAGATTTCTATGAGAAATGTAAAAATACTGGGAAACATTATCTACGTCTAGGTACTTGAAGGTCTAGTTATAGTTTCAGCCTGTCCTATTGTTTTTGTTTTGACTGAGATGATTTAATTCAAGCGAGGGGACTGTAAGTCTCAAGACAGAGAGGCTGAGGATCTGAAATGCCCATGGAGGAGCCTGAGCTGTCTTACATAAAGAGACTTTGAGAGAAATTAATAGCTGAGAAATTTGGAATTTACTTCCTGAGACTCATGCTTGTAAAGACAGTCTGGGTTCCTATTTTAAATACCTCATCTCGGTTCTTAAAGTTGAATTTTTTCAGTATCCTCATGATTTTTTTTTTTCAGTGCACTTTGTTTATTTTTCAGAAAAAGACTCTTTATATTAATTCCTGAAAATATTTTTACCTATACAAAAATATCCCCATGCTTTTTCAAAAGTGTAAACAATCAGTTTCCAAGTAAATATTTTAAAGTGTGTATTTCTGTAAAGCTTAAAACCACACACCTGCAAAAATCTGGTCATGTCAATAATTTAGCTATCCTGTGGGCATCTGTATTGTGTACAGTAGCATTACTTATGTATTTTACTGTAAGGCTATCTATGGATGTTTTTGCAAGATTAACTCTTTAAGTTGTCTTGTTGTTACTGTACACCACAAAAATTTAGTGCAGATTTTTTTCAGGGACAAAAAATGACTGAGCCTGCATATGCTTTGAACACTGATAGTCAAATTGAAAAAACAGTACTAAGGCAATACTGTATTGATTGGCTGTGATGGAGGCCTGTGTAATTCCCCAGGGCAATGTATGGTGACATGATATTCTAAAGCATATACAGCTGTCTCTCTTCTTTATTATGCATTACTAGTTGAAAAATAAATTATCTCAATGTTTAACAGTTATTCCCTTTTTTTTTTTTGTTTCTTCTATGCCCAGCTGTCTCTCATAGGTAGCTGAACTCTAACAAATTGTAAGCCCTCCTATGACTTAGTAACTGTCCCTTAGTAACTGTTTAAAAAAAACAGGTCATGTTCAGGAATATTTAGTGCACAGTAGCTATAGTAGACTGATTTATGTGTTGTGAATGTGGAATATGTCATATTTGCTCTAATGAAGGTGGAAATTATTTTGTATTGCAAATGGCAAACGAACAGCTAGAAAAGGCAGACCAAGTCAGGGTGACCCTTTTCCTCTTTTATGAGAATTTGGGCTGGTTTTGCTTCCCAACTAAATCACTGGCACTTCTTAGATGCCCAGAAGTCCTAATGCTGGACTCTAATGCTGGACTGTGCTCGTGTTAGAAGGAAGGCTATGGCCACGCATATTTCTTCAGCCAGGGTTGTGGGGCTCCAGCATTGGGACCTGCATGTGGAGCTCCTTTGTTGTATGGTGGGCCTAATGAACAAATACAATGCTGTTGTTTTACAGTTGAGCTCTGAATTCACTCAGATAAGTGCAGGCCTTATTTGCCTTTTAAGCAGAGTAGTATTGTGTACCTGTAGTAGAGAGGGGAGGAGAAACTCGGTGGCTATGAGTGGGAGTTGTGAGAAGGATTCATTTGTGGGCAGCAGTATTGACCTTTTGGGGTCTGTAGCCTCTGAGTTGCTGCTGAATGTTCTGTTGATGCAGAACATTGCATTCACATTTCAAATAAACGAAGTACCATGTTTTGTGGGTTTTTTGGTGTTGCATAGGGAAAGCAAAACAATAACACTCTTTTGAAGAAACGGTGATAGCACAGTATATTCCTTTCTTAGAATTGTGAACAATGATACCCAGTAACCTAAAAATAAAAGGTCAGGAAGATTTTTAACCATCTGTATCACTGAAAATTTTAACTAAAAAGCCAAAGTCAAAATGGTATTTTTCTTTTGTTTTACTTTGACCGCTGGCATTAATAGTGAATTCCTTACATTTAAAGTAGGAAGACTGTTTATTTTTCCTCTGTCCACCACATACAGAGCTGCCTGTAAGAGAAGAAGCAGGAGCCAGATTGCACAGCATTTTAAAAATCAATTCTCCTGTGAGTCCAGCTGTCCTTGATGAATAACAGAAGAGAGGAAAGATTTAAGCAGTAGACTTCAACTTCAGGAGAGTGCTTTATTCCCCATTCTGACATACTAGATATTTTAACAAGTGTTACTGGGAACAGTAATCCCCTCTAGCTCATCTTTGCCTAAAATTCATAGAATCATAGAATACTTTGGGTCAGAGGGGATGTTTAAAGGTCATCTAGTCCAACCCCCCTGCAGTGAGCAGGACATCTTCAACTAGATCAGGTTGTTCAGAGCCCCGCCCAACCTGACCTTCAATGTTTCCAGGGATGGGGCATCTACCACCTCTGTGGGCAACCTGTGCCAGGGTTTCACCACCCTCATTGTGAAAAATTTCTTCTTTTTAATGAGGCTAAATCTACCCTCTTTTAGTTTAAAACAATTTCCCCTTGTCCTGTTGCAACAGGTCTTGCTAAAAAGTCTGTCCCCGTCTTTCTTAAAAGCTCTCTTTAAATACTGAAAGGTTTCTATAAGGTCTCCCCAGAGTCTTGTCTTCTCCAGGCTGAACATTTTTCTCAGCCTTTCTTCATGGGAGAGGTGTTCCACCCCTCTGATCATTTTTGTGGCCCTCCTCTGGTCCCGCTCCAAGAGGTCCATGTCTTTCCTGTGCTGAGGGCTCCAGCACTGGATGCAGGACTCCAGGTGGGGTCTCACCAGAGCGGAGTAGAGGGGCAGAATCCCCTCCCTGGACCTGCTGGCCATCTCCCCACATCTCCCCACTACTTACCTTCCCCTGGTCTTGGCAGCCTGGGCCAACATAGGTAATGGTGTGGGTGACCAGACTTGAAGAGATCTGTTTGAGAAAGCTCATCCCCTCCAGTGATGACTCTGCTAATAAGCTTCAGTGTGGACTCACTCCAGCTTCCACTCAGGAGTGTTTTTTAAGATGAGGTTCTTGTTCTCATTCCCTGCCTGTGCTGTAGCAGCATTGAAGCCTAGTGTCCAGCTGATCTGAACCTTGAACCATAGACAGGACTTCTTAACTTGCTTCACCTCAGACCTGTGTTGTAGCTATAAATCCAGTTGCATGGTGATCACTGGACTGTGTCTGACTTTGGTTACTGTGTCTGGAACTGACCCTGACTCACTGACTTGGCTTCCTGGCTTAAACCTGGACCTCCCTCATCACTGTGGAGGGGATCTGGACTCTTGGGTGAACCTGGTTACTATCACTGGACCTCATCTGCTCACCTTGCTTGCATATGGTGGGACTGCCTGCCCATCCGATGGTGAGCCGTTGCCTCTGCCCACCTCATTACCATGCTTAGCTCCCAGCTTCTCATCCCTTGCAGAGCATCCTGTTCTTGCTGCTCCTTGACAGGTTCTTCATGGAGCACCCATGTTCCACTTGTCTACCACTGGAATATTGACTTCACTTATTAGTAAGCAGTGGCCAATTTAACATTAATTTGGGTCGTATATTCATTAGTCATGGTACCATACTTAACAGGCTGAATCCCAATGTTAAATGTTCATGTCTGCTTGACTACAGCCTAGTTGTACCTATACAGTGCTCTGAAGTGAAAAGAAATTAGTAGAGGACTTTTGCTTTGCTCCAGTGGGGAAAACTTTCCTCATGATTCCAAAGCAAGTGGCTTCTGCAGTCTAGAAGTGAGGTGAATGCAGAAGGTCTTCTTGGGAACTGGAATTCCATTTCTAGCCAAAGAGTTGCCAATGCATGTGCAGCAATGAGGGAGTTAGCGTGTTTCTCACCTTGGTTCAGGTTGTTCTTATACCCCTAGATGGCATATCAAGAGCCTTTCCACATTCATGGTGGGAAGAGAGAAAAAGTTTAGAAATGTCTGTTCTCTATATCTGTGCAGTCATTGGACTTCTGTGATAATCATTAGACGTGACAATTGTTGCCATTTGTGATGAAGATTTTTATGTCATGGCATTTGAACATAGGCTGTTTACTTATTTTGTTTAAGCCATTAAGCAATCATCAGAAGGGTGACCTTCAGGTTTTGGAGACGTAAGCCAGACGTGAATAAACAACTTTCACAAAAGCATTGATTTTAAAACGTCTTTTTTTTTTTTTTTCCGCTTTTCCGCTCTTCCAAATAGGTGTATGTAAATTGTCTTGAAACCACTTTAATTAATGTAGCTGATATTTTGGCAAGGATTGCTGCTGTAGAAGATGGTCTTTCTCTTCTTCTTTATGGAGAAAATGGAAAAGCTGCCAAAAAAGATAGGTAAGAGTGCATCAATGAATAGCATTAGTGAGTACTTTAATGAATTACATTAGTCTTATGAGACTAATTTTCTCTTTTTTCATTTATCTATAATGTGATATGTTTTCTTTATATTTGGAGTAAAATATCTGATTATCAAAGTAGTAAGTGTTTTAGAGAATGTATTAGGGTGACATTTATGTGTATAACCAGGTGAAATGACAATTTAAAGAAATACTTTTATTAAGGGAGATTTCTATAGTTTACTTGTTTTTCTTATTGGTGTGAGAGCTTTCCTTTCTCTGAACGTAGTTCCATTATATTCATAGTGCTACTGTTCAGGCCAGAGGCACCTCTCTCCCCTATTTTTTGTTTGTTTATTTTTAGAATAAATATTAAAAATCAACCTAATTTATTGAAATTACGGATTTAATGTAGCATTCACTTTTCAATACATCTAATAGAGACAGACACTGTGTCAGAAGCTGACATTTGTAACACTGTACTGAACTTAGGATCTGTGTGATCCTGTGGGTAGTATATTGTTAGCTGATGCTAAAACTTGAAACAGGGCAGTAAAATTGAGACTAGCCTTTTCAAAATATCTAAGCTACAGGTGATGAAAACGTGTGGAATGTATGTCTCAAGTGGAGGATTCTCAGAAGTTGCATATGTTTTTAAGGGGAGTTGGAAGTAAAAGTATTTTGGAGAAAGAGTTGTCCTTTGCCTTGCAAACCTAGAAGACTTCAGGAGGACATCTCAGATAGGAAAAAGGAAAAACAAAGACTAATTTTGCCTTGTAGTGATATCCTTAACACTGATTAAGCAGAAGCTAAAATAATTGTCTTGTTACTCTTCCCAGCTGGACTCCTATAAAACACACAGGCTGTGTAGGTCATGGTCATGTGGGCTGAATGGAAGACAATGGATGCATTTTTGTTTTATGTAGACCTGTAGCCAAAGTAAAATTACTTGCTGTACATTTCTTTTCTTCTGACTGGTGTTACAAGTTGTAATATAGTTGTCCCCTCCGTAGTGGGTCATAGTTTCTTTCCATAGTTTCTTTTCCCCTAGAAAAAATTAAATAAGTTTAGCCAGAGGATTTGTTTCAAGGCTTATTGATGACTACAAACCACATTTTAAAAGTGTTATTTTATTTCTAGTCCTACAGCTGTTCATGTAATTGTTCAGTTTACAAAGAAACTTCTTCATGACGACATTTCTCTTTTATCTGGATCCGAACTTTTGCCAGTTGTTAAAGGAGCTTTCGTTTTTGTATGTCGTCAGATGTACAGAACTTGTGAAGGCCTGCGGGTGTTGATTCCTTATGGCTTGCATGAATCTATTGGAGAGGCCTGGAAAAAGGTAATCTTGTTTTGGATTGGGAAGATTGAAAAAAAAAAAATCTTGCTGTAAGAGGTTCAGCTTATGTAAGAGTTGTTCTTTGCTTCAGGTTGCTTATATTTAAGTAGAGAGATAATGCTTGGAATTGTTCTACAAATGAAGTTCTAATTTTTAAATTTTTCTTCTGTGCATGAACTTAGCAGAAGCTTAGTTTGAGACTTCTATGCCTCCAGATTCAACCACAAGCTGTCAACAAGCATCCATAGTCCTATCATACGTTGTTCTTGATTCTAGAGGACATTAATGTCATGATAGCCAGTGTCCACCACAGATCTTGTCTTCACTCTTCGTTTGGGATATTTTGAAAGGAAAGCTTCCTGAGATGTGGTCTTAGTAATTTTTAGGTTAAACTAGTTAGTTTTGGTGGGAGATATGGATAAAAAAAAGACACTCCAACTATTTGGCTGACTTAGATGCCATTGAAGTATTCTCAAGAGACCACAATGAGAAGTTCCAGGCAGCAGTTTTTGTCTTATCTGTGTACTTGGATATCTTATGGAGTGTAGACTCTGTACTTCAATTTCAGTTTGATTGCTAATCTAATGCTTTTTTCGATTGCTAGTCTAAAGCTTTTTCAGCATGAATGAGCTTGAGTTCTGTGTATTCTTTTTTTCTGTTGTAAATGTACTGAACAAGGTATATGGCTCTCTGCTTATTCACTAAACTTTTCTATTTTCATTGTTCTGATAGCCATGTGCAATGTGAAAATTCTTATCTATTATAAAAATTTAGTTAAGATGGAAAAATGACAGCAGATGCTTCAAGAGCAGTTTTCAATAAGTTTACAGTGAAGTAAAATTCAAACAAACATTTGAGTGATTAAAATAATATCGTCAGCATTTAGGTAAGGGTAGAGTACAAAGCTTCAACTTTGGCTTCCAGCTAAACTGAAAACTTATTTAAAACATAGGTAATAGAACTCTGTTCTATTTTTTTGTTTCTATTAATTTGGTAATAGAACCAAAATTTATCTGTGTTCATAGAATAGTTTGTGTTGGAAGGGACCTTTAAAGGTCATCTAGTCCAACTCCCCTGCAGTGAGCAGGGACATCTTCAACTAGATCAGGTTGCTCAGAGCCCAGTCCAACCTGACTTTGAATGTTTCCAGGGATGGGGCATCTACCACCTCTCTGGGAAACCTGTGCCAGGGTTTCACCACCCTCACTGTGAAAAGTTTCTTCCTTAAAACTAGGCTAAATCTAACCTCTTTTAGCTTAAAACCATTTCCCCTTGTCCTGTGGCAATAGGCCTTGCTAAAAAGTCTGTCCCCATCTTTCTTAAAAGCTCTCTTTAAATACTGAGAGGCTGCAGTAAGGTCTCCCCAGAGCCTTCCCTTCTCCAGGCTGAACAACCCCAACTCTCAGCCTGTCCTCACAGCAGAGGTGTTCCATCCCTCTGGTCATTGTTGTGGCCCTCCTCTGGACTCTCTCCAACAGGTCCATGTCTTTCCTGTGCTGAGGGCTCCAGAGCTGGACACAGGACTCCAGGTGGGGTCTGACCAGAGTGGAGTTAGAGGGGCAGAATCCTCTCCCTCGACCTGCTGGCCGCGCTTCTTTGGATGCAGCCCAGGACACGGTTGGCCTTCTGGGCTGCGAGCGCACATTGCCAACTCATGACCAGCTTTTCATCCTCCAGTACCTCCAAGTCCTTCTCAGCAGGGCTGCTCTCAATCCCTTCACCTCGCAACCGTTATTGATACCAGGGGTTAAAATAGAACCATCTCTTTTTTTTTTTTCCTCCAGTGAGTGTAAAATATTTTTTTAGAGAAGGATCAGACCAAACTGGAAGAAAAATTTGGCTAAAAGACTAAAGATTTTTTTTTAGTGGTGAGGAAGCAGGAGAGAGATTGAATGCCATGAAAAGGGAATGGAACAGCTATTCTTTTCTTGTCAAATTCTGTATGCTTTTATTATGATTAGAAGTTTTAAAAATACAGTCACAATGTAAACTGAGGCAGAATGTATCAGAAAGAATAGAATGAATAGAAGAGAGATTTAAATCATCAGCTTGTGGGTATCTCTCACTCTTTAATATATGAATGTTATCATGAAAGCATACATGTTGATTGAAAAAAAAAGTATTATTACTTATATTACAGTAAACTCAGTTTCTCATCAAAGAATGTTAGTTTTGAAACTTAACATTCTTCCATGCACTGAGAACTTTAGGATTTTATTGAATTAAGGAGTCTAGTTCACTTGAATCGTGCTGTAATTTACAGAACTCAACAATCTGTCTGTCTTCTTGTGCTTTCCTATTGTTTAACTAGTCAGTCTTACTTGAACTAACCTGTTACTCTGTTTAATATTTATTACAGGCAGACTGTTACATGCTTTTGATGGGCATTTCCAGTTATTTGTTCTAAAGCACCACAGCATTTACACATGCACAAAAGACTTCTTTGTACATTAAAATCCTTTATTATGGTATAGAACATCATTTACACAAATTGTTTTGACACCTACAAGATAAGTAGGCTGAATGTGTCAAATTTTAAAACAATCATGAAACAACTGACAAAATGCCTTTTCTTCACATCACTTTGGAGGTCAAATTGAGACTGAAGTGGAATCTACATATTCAAGACTTCAAGAATCAACAAGTTAGTACAGGAAGGACACATTTTTCAATTTTAAAACATCTTCAGTTTATAAAATGTTCTATAGTGTAGCAATAGTGGTGGATTTTGGTGGACTCTATCCAGGCAGTAGTGACAATTTTTAATGGATAGACAGGTAATTTGATTCCTTCTATTTTACATGTCTCCTGGAATTTTAAGACTGGTGGAGAAACAATTTTTTTCTTGGCAGAAACTGGTGGAATTCTGGGATGGAATTTCTACAAATGATAATAAAAGGGGAACTTAACAGATCCAGGACAACTGGCTAGTTTAATGGAGGAATCTTGTGTGGATTTATTAGATCATGTTTATAAGAGAGCAAATTAATGACTGCTTACTTTCATTTCAGTGGTGCAATTTGCTTTTTATCTCTAGAAACATAAACCAACTTAATTCATTAATCTTAAATATACAGCATTTTTCACACCAATTATTTTCAAATATAATTTAAATTAGAAAATTCATCAAATATAAAAATACGTATATACAGTTATCTATGTATCCCCATCCCTGGAAACATTCCAGGTCAGGTTGGACGGGGCTCTGAGCAACCTGATCTAGTTGAAGATGTCCCTGCTCATTGCAGGGGGTTGGACTAGATGGCCTTTAAAGGTCCCTTCCAACCCAAACTATTCTATGATTCTATGAATGTAGTTCTAATTATATCTGTACCGATGTAGATAAATTTATATAATCTAAAAATAAAAACATAAAAATTGGCAGATTTACTTAATACATTTGGTATTGACTTGTTGACTCCAGAGTCTGTTATTTCCATTACCTGTGACATAAGTGGAGTAAAGAGTTGCTTTCTGATTTTTTTTTTTTTAATTATTACTATTATTTTTAATGCTGATTTTTACATTGGGAATCTCCAGTTAAAAAGTAAAGAGTTTCTTATGCTAAGAATTCCAATAGAAATTTTAAAAATGTACTAGTTTAAAATGGTTTATACCCAAGAAAGAAAGGAAAAATAAGATTTTCTGGAATAAAAAATGTAGTGGAATAGTGTATTCTGTGCCAAAGACTAGACTGCAGCCTAATCACTCTTACATTCCTTTCAATATGTAACAAGAGGATGAGCAAGATCTGGAGTTTAAAAATGGTGTAGTAAGGAGTTATTTATTTATTTTTTTATTTCACAGACGAGTTTACTTTCAGAAAGAGTACCCACTCCTGTAACTGTTGCGGACTCAGCTTCGTCATTAAGTCTAGAGTCAAAAAATGTGTAAGTTGATGCTTAATTTATGCACATGTACAAGTATGAATGCACACTGCTACTTTATCCACAAGTGAGGCGCCTCATAACCATGTGTCTTTTTGCCAAAAGCATAGTGGTATGTAGGGAGAGTGAAGACATCCCAGCATAGGTCTCAGAGTTACAAAATTGTTCTTGACCTTTCAGGATTTTCTTGACTTATAGAGTTGTGTCTAATGTATGTAGAATTGACTTATAGTTGATTCTCTCTGACTACAGAAATTCGTTTAAGGAAAATGTGAATTAGAAAGCATAAAACTAAATAGCTGTCAGGTTTATCTTACGGCTTTGACGTGGTGTTAAAACGCTGTTCTGCTGAATAATATCTACACTTTCAAAATATTATGTAGCAAGATTGGCAGCATTCTGGCTGAAAGCCTGGTGCATATTAAGTGAAAGGCATCCTTCCTTTTATACTAAAACTTAATGTCCTTTTATAGAAGTTTGTATGCATTAAGATGAGAAATATTCAAATATTTTTGAGCCTGAAAATTCAGGGTGATGTTGGTGTTAGTGCAAAACCTAGTTAATTAGGTAGATTCTTGTTTATACTTTACTGTAGATTTCATGTATAATTTGCAAAGATACCTCAAAAGTTATTGCTCTAGTCTGTGGTGATGGCATGTGAACTGGTTATAGCAATTCAAATCTAGTGGTAATAAGAGATTTAGGAATGCAGAGCTTGTCTGAGGAGGCTGTTAGTAATCACTTCCATTGATGTAAGCTACAGTTTCCTCCTAGCATCTAGATTTTCCATTTAACTATGGAACAAGACATGCTGATATATTTCTGGGTGAAGTTTTTGCTTCTGAACGTGATATGACAGGGATTCTGCAGGAGAGGTGATTAAAGTTTGGGGTAATGGTTGACTGATACGAGAAAAACTGCATGCTGCTTTCTGGTGGTAGGAGTCAGAAGTGAGAACTGGAGATGAGAATCCAGTTAGAAAATGCTGTTAGAGAAGCAGAATCACAAGAGTCTAGTGATACCTGCAGAGATGGTACCTAGTCAAAGGTGATGTAATTGCTTCACTTAGGGTGTAGAATATTTTATAGGGCAGAGGGTATCGTCATACTTTATTCTTGCAATCGCTGTTCTTTCTGCCATGTCTGTAGAAAATACTTTCCATTTACTGCTGTTAGTACGTGAAGCTATTGTGTATATAAGGCACCTTATTTTCATAATTCTGTACTAATCTCTAGCAGGACCCTTTATCTCCTCAGATGTGAGTTATTATTAGTTCCTCATAGTGTTTTTATATTGGTGGGAAATTCTGTGCCTGCTTTGCCAATTTGTAACTGCCACATTAATACTTCAAAAGACTTGTCTAGAATCAGATAGTAAGTCATAAGTTCATTTAAGGATGGCATAGGTCTTTTGGGTTCCCCATTACATCATCTTTCTGTTCTGTGTTCCTACCTAACCTTAGTTTTGCCAGGATGGGTTTGAACGTTTATACAAAACATAGTCTAATACATCTAACTTTCTCAAATGCTTTTTTTAAACTAACATAGACTCATAGAGTAAACGGAGTCCAGTGAATGAAGTGGTGTTGTTTTTGAAAGTTACAAATTACAGTTTTTCTTCTTTTTCCCATGCTTTTTTACATATCTCTTTTTAATTATTATTTTGCTACTCTTGCAGTTTGTTATGGGAACAGACTTTGTTAGATGCCTTGCTAAATTTTTCTGCCACACCCAAAGGACTATTTCTGCTTCATAGTACAGGTGTCATGAATGATTGTGTGAACTTTATGTTCAGCAGTTTATCAAAAAAACTCCAGGTAAGCATTACACAGTTTGTACAGTTTTTCTTTCTTTTAATGATTGTAATAAAATAAAGAAGAAAGAAAACAATAAGAAAATAAACCCAGAAACCATTGTGTCACTTAATTTTTGCAAAAATTAATTTAAAATGTAACATCATCTTTGATATTGGTGCCACACTGATTTAAGTTTGTTCTATGTTACTCATCTTCAGAATGTCAGGCATACATTTATTTTTTTCTGACTTTTTACTGTAAAGTTTGGAATGCTAAGCAAAGTATTTTTTCTTTTTTTTTTTTTTCTTTGAAGTGCAAGTTTTTCTAGACCATGTTGGTAGGTGGTGTTGAAATCTAGATATACTAGACAATACTTGAAATGTAACCAAAAATTAGATAATATGCATTTTAGGAGAAGTAACATAATGTTACAGACATCCTACTGAATGTGTGCAAAAAACCAATGTTTTTGTTCTTTGCTGATGTTGCATGTCTCAACCATAGTATTTTGCATTTAAATTTTGATAAGATACTTGATAAAGATGTTTGGTTTGGAATCTAACCCTGATAAGTCTGTAGAGGATGATATCTATGAACTGTTCAAGTCTAACCATAGTGAACTAAATTCTGTAAACAAGTGTAGGAAAGATCAATATTGAAGAGATCATTTGAGAGTTTCATGCCCTCTGAATAACTAACACTGTACTTTTATATTTGTTACAGCAGACAAATGAATATGAAGATTTTGATAATAGAGCGATTGTTACACAAATCGCAACAACACCAACAGGTGCAGTAGCTCTACAGAGTTCAGGTAAATTGAAGAACGGTGATGTTATGAATATTTACATGCTGTAGCCTTGCATATTAGAAAAAGAAGGTGAGAAAGATGTTAAAGATGGACTGAGTGGAATAATTACGCACTATCAGCAAAGACTACTTAAATGTCCATTGATTTGATCTTGATGGAAATTTCTCTTTCCAAATTTTAAGTCATTCACTTATGTTGATGCAGGGTTTTGTTTTTTGTTTTCTTAAATCATGCAAAATCTTTACTTCATTGGTTTGGATTTCCAGAAATTTCCTGTATGTGCATGAAGATATTTATATCTGTTAAAAAATAAGTTGCTAACGATTTGCGAGTGCCTCTTATTGATCTACAGATCAGATTTAATAACTGTTGATTTCTGTAGTTTGTATGTACTTTTCCACGGCTACTGACTGCTTGAAGAGTGAGAAACTGCAAAGGCCTGAATGTCATGGGCACTCTTACACAATAGTGAGATGGAATTGAGATTATCTGAATTGACGATTCTTCTCATATGTCAACACATACCACAAAGGCCTTTCAGATTCATTCTCAGATAATTAAACTCTTGCCATATACCACCCAGCGGTCTAGGTAGTTGTTAAAACTAGAATCTTACCAATAAAGAAAAGCTACCATCTGAAGTTGCTAAGGAAGTCCATGAGGTACAAAAGTTGCAAATACTCTCTTTGAGTATCTAGAAGTGGCTGGTGCATAATTAAAATCACTTGACTGAAAGACAGGAAAGGCAGGCAAATTCTGCCAGTCGAGGAAACCGATCATTAGTTGCTTATTATTTATGCCTATGGGATCTTTCAGAAAGCAGGGAGCAGATCTACTTGAGGAATAACCCATCTGTCCTGTTTAAGTTTCTCAGCCAGGTTGCTCCTTATGGCCCTCAGCGTCAAAGGCAAATGGTAGACCAAAAAATAATCAGCATTGATTTTCAACCTTGAGGGGAAGTTGTGTAATGTATTTAAAGTTTGTATTAAGCCTATAACTTACATTTGAAGATTTTAGTTAGATGACTATAATTTTCTATTTTAATATTTAACATTTTAAAGTCATTTAGTAGTGCTTCTCTTAAAAACAATTTTTCAGTTCTTAACTTTTCATTGTGGTATGTTTTCATTTATTAATGGGTTATAGTAAATCTGTATTTTTAAAATCACAGAGCCAATACTAGCTAAACTTTGAACTGTAGCACTTAACTTGTTAAAGAAGGTCAGCAGCTCATTTACTTGGAAGATACCTTACTCTAGTAGAATTATTTTGCAAACTGTTGCTGTAGATTTTAGATTGAATATAAGCAGACTGCTGTACAAAATGTAGTTTGACTAAAGGATTGAGAATAGCAGGGAGAGTAACCCTCGGTCAGTCTGTCTTGTGTAATTTTAGTCCACAATGTAGAGAATTTTGAGAATCTGAGTTAGAATTATGATGTAAAATGTTTTTAATATGAAGATTGTTTTTCTGGTATTCTTGCCATTCTCATGGTTAGAACAAAAAATTGTTTTAGGTTTTATAAAGGCACTTGTAACTGAATTATGGGCTCTTTTGGAGTGTGGAAAAGATGATGTGAGGATAACCCAACCCAAATCTACTCCAGTTGACCCTATTGACCAAAGCTGTCAGAAGGTGAGAAATTACTTAATTGTCTGTATTGGCATGGAAAAAATAGTGCTGTATTTCACATAAGATGGTACATACCTTTCTGTAAATTTTCATTGCCACTATACCTGCCCCTTCACATGCAGAAAAATTAGTGTAATATACTATTCAAATGATGTCTGATCAAAAGAATTCTTGTGCTGCATGGCAGGTCACAATGCCAAGGATCCATTAAAGTCAATATAAAATAGTAAATAACAATCATGACAAAAGTGAAAGTCTTAAAATACTGGCTATCAGTTCATGTCTCTGATTACTGTAGTAATATTAGGGAGAGTGATGTGTTTTAGAGTATGCTATGTCTAGATTTTAGAATTATGTGATAACAAAAATACAATAATTTTCAAAATTGCTTCTACAATTTGATAGATAATACATCTTTCACAGACACTACTGCCCTTTTAGATTATATAGACACCTGCTAGGGTTTGCAGTCTTAATTTGGGCAGCTCTATTTATGTCAAGTGCAGCCTACAAAGAAGGATAAGAACAAACTTAAAGTAAATGGCAAATAATTATTAAAGATATTTGGTTATACTTAACTGATTAACATTCCCTTTTTCCCCCTTTTTTCTCTTTCTCTAGTCTTTTCTCTCTCTGATAAACTTGCTCACTTACCCTGCAGTTTTTGAGCTCCTGAGTAAACAAGAGATACCAAATAAACCAATGTATTCACTTCGTGAAGTACCTACAGATATTATTGTAAGTATGGTTTTTATTTTGAAAGAAAAATAAATACTTCTGTGAAGACATTGTTCCTGAGAAAAAGCTACTGTAATAATAGAGTAAGGTTTTTCTTCTTACTGAAACATTTTGAAATTTTGTGCATTTTGTATTATATACAGCATGAGGGCAGCATATGCATGTATCACTTCAAGTTAAGCTAAATTTTCATTTTGAAATCTAAAAATAATATAAAATTTGATGCTTAATTTAAAGATCATCTTTCCTGGCTTGTGTTAGAATTGAGTTTTTCCATGGAAAAAAAAAAAAGTGACTTACATAAACAGCTCTGTGTGTGCATGCAGTCACATGCTGGAAAATCCCTATACTTGTATTTTATATAGTATAGCTCTATCACACTATCTGTGGATTTAAATGAAAATTTAAAACAAAACAAAACCAAACCTCAGGCTTTGTTAATAGCACACATGATTCACACTTGTATCACTAAATGTAAAGTTACTGGTCAAGGCATATTTCAGTCCGAAGAAAAATAGGATTACCATTTCTGTATTTAGTATTAGTTTGTATTAGTTCATCCAACTGCAATGTCTTAGTGGTTTTTTTTTTTCCTCAGGTACAAGGCACAGGCAAATTTAATCTGTGACCTTGACTAGCAGTTAAAATCAGATTTTTTTTTTTTCGAATTAGCTAGCGCTTTGAATTGCTGTTGTGTTAAAGTGTTTGTTTAGCACAAGCTCTGGATTGGTGGTAGTTTAAGTTGTTTAGACAGCGTATATCATAGTAGTGTATGTTATGTTTGGAAGGGGTTTTTGTGGATCTTTTTTGTAGCACTGTTTTGGTGATTTCAGGAGAAAATGGGATGATAAATTTAATTTTTCCATTCACTCCATGTTAGTGTGTCCACTGATAGATAGTTCTGTTCAGTCATCAAGTTTTCTGAGGTGCTAGGAGCAGGGGAGATAGATGTATGTTGAAGGTGATACATATTTGAGAACTTTCAGATTGGCGTAGATGTTAAGTAACGATTTTAGTGTCTTTTGAAAGCCTATGTTGTTTGGGCTTTTGAGGCACCTTTTTTGATGCAATTCTCTAGGTTTCCAGAAATAGCAATACTGATACAATTGTTCAAAGTTCCCTGAACATTTACAGATGTTTTGGGTGGGGTTTGTCTCACTTAACTGCTGTGCAACAGTGGGTTTTGTAAGCCTAAACTAGACATCAAAGATTATGTAGTTAACAGAAGGGAAATAGTCAGTTTACCTAATGTTAATTAACATATAATGGCTAAGTCTAAGTACTCAGAAAACTTCTGGGGTTAAGCAGACATATAGATTTGTTATAACCACATTTTTGGGCAGTGATTACAAAAAACCAAAGATAAAAAAATTTATCAGATATAACTATGGTTAGAAAACAAAGTAAAAGCGATTTCAGTTCCGCTAGGAGATTTGGTTAGAAGACCTAATTGCTCTGTGTGCTTCATTTTTCTATCTTTCTGGATCATGCCACATTGCCACAGAATCTGACTTGTAATATTTATGCTGAACTATATTTAATAATGCACAGAACTTCATCATCTTTGTATGACCTTTATTTCTTAAACACAGGATTTAAACACTTTTCCCTCCTTTGTATTTTTGGCTAACTAGTTGCATCATTATCAGCTGAGCTTCTACTGCTTTTAACTGTTGACTAATCAGATTTATATTCTGTGTACTTTAAGAAAATTTTTCTTGATACATGCCAGGTTCTTTTTACTCTGTTTGTCATATAAAAATATTTTAGAAAATGGAGCAGATGAATGAGGGTCCTTCCACCTGCCTCTACTCTTCCTTTGAGAGGTAGCACATATGTAAGGGAATCTAGCTCGGAAGGTACCCACCAGTTCTGTAGCTTTGAAAGACATGTTTAAGCAGATTAATTTTTTTTTTTTTTCAGTGATTATGGAGGGTTTAATATTTAGATGGTGTATCTTAGGTATTCAAAGTAGATGTCACTCTACCTGTAATATTTAAGCTACGCTCTGTAGTTGAGCAGTGCAGGTTTAGCTGCACTTTTTTCTTATCGGAACTTGTGTTGAACCTTGTTCGCTGTCTTCCTTCCTAATATCCCAAATTAGAGCTTGGTCTGCTTTCTCAATAGTCCTCTCTGTATGCCTGCTCTTTCTACTCTTGCAGGCTCCAAGCTTTGATATATAAATGAGAGAAGGAGGTTGTTGCCAGAGAAATATCCCTCGGCATTTAAATCTTTGCACGTGCAAATATCTAAAAAGCCTTAAACCCCAAACAAAACAATTGCTTGTATTACTGATTTTATGAACAGCCCTGAGGTCCGAGTTGAATTGTGAATTTTATTGTGAACATATTATGTGGAAGGAGTAGATTCTTCACAGCCGTCTCCCCTACCACCCCAAAAAAAACTAATAGAGAAAATACAGTTTCGTTGTATGAAGACAGTGTACTTTGACAAGTTCTAGATATTTTCTATACTACTTGAAGTTTTAAGTGTGGTGTTTTCTCTCTGTTGACAAACAGAGCTTTGGTTGATTTCAGGACAATATGGATCCTAACTTTTTTCTTGTATCATATTGAAATGACTCATTGATCTAGCCAGTTGAATAATAACATTCTCTGCTGTCTCTGGGACTGTACTTCTTAAATGTGGAGAAAATAAAAGTTTGGATTTAATCCAAGTTAAATGAAGCCTCTAGGGACTTTGTTTCTTCTGACCATAGGACAGCTATCTGTCTTTGAGACGATAACATCAGTGAATGTTTTTATGCATATCTTAGTCTTTTAATGAAGTTACTTCTTCAGAAGCAGTTTGGATAGGCAGTGAACCAGAGGGGAATATAATTAGGTTGAATTTGTGGAAGAAGTGAGAAGCAGCAACAGGTCATTGTCTATTACATGAGATGCTGTAGGATGAAAGATGTAAGCCTCAGCAACCAAGCCAAGCCTTGTTACACTGAGAATAAATGGCTGTGTTTTGAAGCATGTAGTACTAAGTAGTGTTAGAAAGGGATTATTAAAGGATTTGCCGTTCTTTTCATTAGAATAGATGTATACACGTTTCAAACATATAAAAAAAAACAGGTTAACATTTTTGTTGTGTTTTAATACTAAATAAAAACTAGAGTAATTGATATGCTAGGATCTTTTTGTATGTTTAGTAATTTTTTTTTTAACAGGGTTTTTTTTTTTCCCCTCCCCCAACTTTCTGTAAGGTTTCTTATTTTTTATTAACTGAGACTTTTTTCCCCCTAAGCTTCTGTATGGTTTCTTTTTGCCATTGACTTTTACAGTGGAAAGCACTTATTACAGAAATAATTTCAATATGTAAACATAATAAATATAGTAAACATCCCTATGAAACTATTATGGGCAAAAAATATAAAATCATACATGATTTTTTTACATTTGTCTTCGTTTGGCAGGATATCATTGACAGACTTATAATTTTGAATTCAGAAGCTAAAATTCATTCCTTATTCAATTATGAACAATCACATATCTTTGGTCTGAGGTAAGATGCTCATTTTCTATTCTCTGCTCACATTAACTAAATAGGATATAACATGCTTGGCTGTGTTGCTTCTGATAAGATAACATTGTTTGTTTTTTATTATGCATGAAGGTGAAATTCCCCTTTTTTTT